TAGGTGATCTGGAAGTCTGGTTTTCAGACCTGTTTATGTTTCTTCTCATTTTGACTGGGGTGTGGGGGGGATTGCATGGCTCACCTCCTGTGGGCTGGTGGAGGGGGTGGTACTTCAGCCCGGAAGCTTCCTCCTGGGGCTGGGAGCAGCTCCCCTCCTGTGCGCTGGGGCAGGGGGGTGGTACTTCAGCCTGGAAGCCTCCTCCTGGGCCTTGGAGCGGCTCCCCTCCTTTGCACTTGGGGAAGGGGTAGTACTTAGGTCCGGGAGCTTCCTCCTGGGTGCAGGGAGCAGCTCACCTCCTGCGTGCTGGGGGAGGGGTTGGTACTTCGGCCAGGAAGCCTCCTCCTGGGCGCTGGGAGCAGCTTATCTCCTGTGCACTGGGCCAGGGAGTGGTACTTCAGCCCAGAAGCCTCCTCCTGGGTGCTGGGAGTGGCTCACCTCCTGTTCGCTCTTCATTGTTTCTTTGTAGAATATCCTTCAGAAATTTTTGGAGTGCTGGTTTGATGGTCATGAATTTCTTCAGGTGATCTTTGTCATGGAAGTATCTTATTTCTCCATCAATTTTGAAAGATAACTGCAGGGTACATCAATGTGGATTGGAGTTTGACTTCTTTTAGGGCTTGAAATACTTCACTCCATACTCTCCTTGGCTTTAACAGTTTGTATTGACAAGTCTGCTATGATTCTGATTGGTTTTGCCTTATAGATGATTTGTTTCTTTTGTATAACAGCTTTTAATATTCTGTTCTTGTGTTGAATTTCTGAAATCTTGACTATTATATGACTTGGTGTAGTTTTTTTTCTGATCATAGCTATTTGGAGTTCTATATACCTATCTGTATGTCAATTTCTTTTTCCATGCTTGGAAAGTTTCTGCTATTACTTCTGTGAACAGGTACTTTATATCCTTTGTACTGTCTTCTGATTTTGAATTGATTCTCATTAATCTTATATTAGTCTTCTTTGAATCGTCTAGCAGTGATTGAGTTGAGTTTTTACAGTCCCTTGTTATTATTAAGAAGTCTTTCATTTGATGATTGCCAGTCACATCCTTTCTTCTAGATCAGATATTCTCTTTAGATTGGTTGACTCTGCTGTGTAAACTTTCAATAGAATTTTTAATCTCTTGGATTTCTATTTGAGTCTGTTTTTTGGAATCCAGTTCTTTTCTATGTTAGTCATTCATGGTTTGTGTGTTTTTCCTAAGCTATTTTTCATCAATTAACTAACCATTTACTTCATTATTGTCATCTCTTTAATTATTTGTGTAATTATTTCTGTTTTGGCTTTGTCAAGAGGCTTATTCATCTGTTTTATTAATTCTGCTGCTATCATTTCAGAAAGTTCATCTGGGTGGCTTTTGATTTCTTCCACCTCAGTGCCCTCTGGCTTTGCCTTAGGTGAGTTAATGATGTTGGTTTGCATCTTGCTTCCATGTTTTCTCATTTTCTTTTCTTTCTTTTTTTGTTTATTTGATGCTTGTAAATTGTTTATGGTAGGTGGCTTTATTACTAGTCTCAAGACCTCTTTAAGAAACGACTACTTTCCAGAAATGTGTCCTAGGCGTAGCTGACTTTTAGCGTTTGAGTCTGTCCCAGGATCCTGTCTTTTCTGTTTATTAGGGATGAAAGGTTGCAGCCTTTTTGACCTAGCACCCAATTCTTTGATACTGGACTATACTAAATTTTATGACACCCAGACAGTTTAGGTACTGCCATAGAAGGAAGATCAGTTGATCACAACTATGTCACCTTGGCTAAAGTAGTATAATCAGTAATATCAATAGCATCAAACACAGACTAGAATATGACTAACTGTGATAACTAATAATTTGCCACCTTTAACCATAGGTACACAATTTATAGTTATATAACAAAATCTAAGACAAATCAAAAGATTATATACATTAAATATCCACTCAGTAGAATGATTTTACCCTAAGTGGAGAAAATTTAAAGGTAAAAGAGGAAAAAATGGAGAAATGAAAAAAGAAAAAGAGATTAGAAGTAAGGCTGAAGGACTAAGGAAGATGACCCAAGCCTCAGGAAACTCGTGAAGAAGACAAGAGGGAAGGAAAGAAGGAAAAAATAAAAACAAGAACAAAATAAAACTAAAAACGATGCTCACATTCACAAAGAAACAAAAACAAACACTCAAAACAAACAAACTAAAAGAAAAGAAGGCAAAAGTAGAAAAAGAGAGAGAGAGAGAAAGAGAGAAATTTATCTGTGATGTCAAGCCTATGGTTATCTTCTGGAGTCTACAGTTTTGTGGCAGTGTCCAATTCAAGGTGTGATTCTGCCCTCACTGGTAGACAAGGGAGGCAGTCAGAGCCTAGATCTGTAGGATGAGGGCAGGTTGCCAGTTCTGAGACTTTCAAATCCACATAAATTCAGGCTGAACCTGGCCTTTGATCATGGGGGCGGAGCCTCAGTAATTTAACTTATAACAGTCTGGGTGTCTCTTGCTGGCTTGACCATGGCTCCTTGACCATGGACATCTCCTGTGGCTATCCCTCACCATGTCACTGTGGAAGTTTAACAGCCCTTAGATGAAGCCAACCCATGGCTGCTCTGAATCCCACGATCAGTTGGCCCTCCCCTAAAATGTCATCTGACCAACCACTCTCTCCAGAGGATAAGGGCAGATGCTTGGTCTGGAGTCACTCACTAGTGGCTGTAGCATACAGCATCCACTGCTCTATTCCACTGGTGTGTTTCTTCCTGAAGACCTCTAGAATTGTCTGCTTTCACTGTGTCTCTGTAGATTTGATCTTCCTTTCTTACCAGCCAGGAGCCAGGAGCCAGGGAAAAAGTGCAGATTGCCCCTTCCTCTTTCTACAGTGTAGTCTGTCTCTTCAATTTCTCTCAAAGCTCCAATTTTCCCTTCAGATCCTTTCTGGGCTCCAGGAATCCACCTCCCTCCTTCTTTACTTCAACAAGTTATTTTCCAATATCTGGATTCAAAATCTTGGAGAGGCTGATTTGTTGCTCTGCCATCTTCCCAGAAGTCCAATTCTTTATATATTCTAGATATTAGTCCTCCATCTGAGGAGTAGCTGTCAAATTTTTTTCCCAATCTGTAATTGTCTCCTTATTCTGCTAGTTGTTTGCTTTGCTGTGCAGAAGCTTTTAATCAACCATTTGTTGATTTTTTATGTTATTTCTGGTGCAATTGGGGTTCTGTTCAGAAAGTCCTTGCCTATACTTTTGTCTTCAAGAGTTTTACCTATTTTATCTTCCAGAAAGTTGTCTTTTTATTTTAATATTTAGGCCTTTGATCCATTTTCTTTTAATTTTATTACATGGTGATTGATATGAGTCTAGATTCAATCTTCCACATGTATATAGCCAGTTTTCCCAGCTCCATTTGATGAAGAGGCTATATTTCTTCCAGTATATGTTTTTGGCCCCTTTGTCAAAGATCAGATAGCTGAATGTGCCTGGAGTTGTTTCTGCTTCCTGTATTCTGTTCCACTGATTCATATATCTGTTTTGGGGCCAGTACCATACAGATTTTATCACTGTAGCTTTATAACATAACTTTAAATCTTGGATTGTGATGTCTTCTGCCTTGCTCTTGTTTCCCAGGATTGCTTTAGCTATTCTGGGCCTCTTCTGGTTCCATATGAATTTTAGAAATTTTTTTTCTAATTCTGTGAGGAATACTGTTGGTATTTTGATTGAAATTGCATTAAATTTATATATCAAAAATCAAATTTATATATCAGTTTTCATGGCATAGCCATTTTTACAGCATTCACTCTGCCTATCCAGGAACAGGGAATATCTTTCCATTTTCTGACATATTCTTTGATCTCCTTTTTCAAAGTACTGTAGTTTTCATTATAGAGATCTTTCATTACTTTGTTAGATTAATTCCTACATATTTAATTTTTCTTGAAGCTATTGTGAATGGTATTGTTTTCCTAATTACTTTCTCAGTGGGCTCATTATTGGTGTACAGGAATGCTAGTGACTTTGTGTGATTTTATATCCTGAATATATGTATACAGTAAGTCCCCAACTTATGAAGGAGTTCTATTCTGGGAGAATGTTTTTTAAGTTAGAATCATTCATAATTCCAACAAAGCAAGCCTTACCTTTGATGCAAATATACAATATATATTGCTTTGAGCTTCCTAGCAGTCACTTCCACATTGCCACTGCTTTTCCTCTTGCTTCTGGACATCCTGGGCTCTAATTGAGCACTGTACTACTGCACACTGTCACACTGTACAGTAAGCATACAGCAGCACAACTGTGACAATGTTCGGCAGACACATGAGGTACTTCCATGATTTGTTCTCATCTATGAATGTTTGTAATGTGAGGTCTGTTTGTATCTGTGAAGTTTGCAACTCAAATGTTCGTAAGTTAGGGACTTACTGTATTTCTTAGAACAGTGCCTGGAATACTGTATCATGTAAGAGTTTGGTACATAATAAGTGCTATATATGTATTTCTTTCTTAGTGTTTGTTTACAATACATAATAGGTATATTTGTACTAAGAAATTGGTACATGTATGTAACATATCTTAATTATTTTTATCATTTTACCTCCAAATATATGTATTCCATGTCATCATCAGATTTACTGATTTCCATGTGTTCAATTTGGATTAGCTTAGTGTGCCTTTTAATGTGCTATTTATTCTTTATGTCAGTTTTACTTTCTCTTTCCCTTTAGGTGGGACATTTGGGATGAAGAACTCAGAAAAGAGAATTTCTGGAAAAACTACATTTCATAGTGAAATTGAAGGTGATGATACAAGGGACAACTCATTGTGTTCCATTTTAGAAGAACTGAGCCAAGATGCTGAGCGGATAAAAAGATGTCAGGAAAAATGGGACAACTCTCTGAATCACACTGCTTTTGTTAATAAGAAAATATTGAATACAGAGTGGGATTATGACTCTAGAGACATTGATAAATGCATCCATCTAAGCCCAAATCTTATTCCTTCACAGAAAAGGCCCCATATACATGAATCATTTGGGAAGCATTTTAAGCATAATTTAGACTTTTATATTCATAATAAAAACAATGCAACAAAGAACTTTGATAAAATTATTGGCCACAGTCAAGTTTTTGCCCAGAGTACTTCTTATGCTGCCCATGAAAATGTGCACACAGAAGCAAAGTTCTGTGAAAGTGATCAGTGTGGAAAAGTCCTCAGCTTCAAACATACCTCCAGTCAAAATCTGAAATTTCCTGTCAGGGAAAAAGCAAACACATGTACTGAATTTGGGAAGATCTTCACTCACAAGTCACACCTCTTTGTGCCTCCAAGGATTCACCCTGTGGAAAAACCTCATGAGCTTAATAAATGTGTAAATGTTTTTACACAGAAACCACTACTTAGTATATATCTAAGAGTTCATAGAGAGGAAAAACTATACATATGTACTAAATGTGGGAAGGCCTTCATCCAGAATTCAGAATTATTGATGCATGAGAAAATTCATACAAGAGAGAAACCCTATAAATGCAGTGAATGTGGAAAATCATTTTTTCAGGTGTCATCTCTACTTAGGCATCAAACAGCTCATTCTGGAGAAAAACTCTATGAATGCAGTGAATGTGGGAAAGGCTTCTCCCTGAACTCAGCTCTCAATGTACATCAGAAAATCCATACTGGAGAGAGACATCACAAATGTAGTGAGTGTGGGAAAGCCTTTACCCAAAAGTCAACACTCAGGATGCATCAGCGAATTCACACAGGAGAGAGATCCTATGTATGTACCGAATGTGGGCAGGCCTTCATCCAAAAGGCACACTTGATTGCCCATCAAAGAATTCATACTGGAGAGAAACCTTATGAATGCAGTGACTGTGGGAAATCTTTTCCTTCTAAGTCCCAACTTCAGATGCATAAGCGAATTCACACAGGAGAGAAACCCTATGTATGTACTGAATGTGGGAAGGCCTTCACTAACAGGTCAAATCTCAATACTCATCAAAAGTCTCATACCGGAGAGAAATCTTATATCTGTGCTGAATGCGGGAAGGCCTTCACCGACAGATCAAATTTCAATAAACACCAGACCATTCATACTGGAGAGAAACCCTACGTCTGTGCAGATTGTGGGAGGGCCTTCATCCAGAAGACAGAGTTAATTACACATCAGAGAATTCATACTGCAGAGAAGCCTTATAAATGTTCTGACTGTGATAAATCCTTCTCTAAGAAACCACATCTCAAAGTACATCAGCGAATTCACACTGGAGAGAAGCCATATATATGTGCAGAGTGTGGGAAGGCCTTCACTGACAGGTCAAACTTCAATAAACACCAAACCATTCATACTGGAGACAAACCCTATAAATGCAGTGACTGTGGGAAGGGCTTCACCCAGAAGTCAGTTCTTAGTATGCATCGCAATATTCATACATGAAATAACCCTGTTTCTTAGAAATGAGAAAATTTTTATCACAAAAGTCAGGTCTAAGTATGTATTATAAAATCCACCCAAGACAGAGCCAGGCGTGGTGGTGCATGCCTGTAATCCCAGCACTCAGGAGGCTGAGGCAGGAGGATTGCTGTGATTCGAGGATAGCCTGGGCTGCATAGTAAGTTCAAGGCCAGGCTGAACTACATAGTGAGACCCTGTCTCACGCACACAGACACAAACCCATCCAAGACAGATCCTAGATTAATACATTCTATGAGAAAAAGCAGTAATCAGACTATATTATCTGAGATGAGAAAAATTATTCAGAAGACCCCTCTAAGAATATACTGAAAGAGACAGAGTCTTTATATTTGTACAGTCTCACAAAATATAGAACTCATACTTGGAAAAAATATCATTTTGATACTTTGGAAAAGGCCTTCCTATATGAAGTATTATAAGGCAAATTGTTACCAAATTCTTTATAGGAAGGAGAGTGCAAAATTATATAAGTGGCAGTCATGTTTACTGTGTTAGAGTAAATATTTCAACATAATAACAAAAAGGTTGGACAATAAAATATATTTGATGTATAGCCCTACTCTCAGTTCTGTAGGGTGTCTGGCTGAACACATTGCATAGCAGGGGGAATAATTGAATTGAAATTTTTTCTTTAAATCTAAAATGATTGGGCCTATCAAATATGTCTGTTGCATGTTTCTATTGAATAACTGCAAGTTAAGTCATTTTGGTTTTGTATATGCACAAATCTGCAGATACAATTTTACACGAATACATAAATATCCTATCCATACTGGTATCCATGACATAGTATTTTTGTCTTCTGTCATTGTGGTGCAAAGCAAAATGGCCAGAGATTCCTCCCATCATTTTATGCATGCCCCTTTACAATATTCCTTTGCTGTTTCTTTTATGAAGAAGTAGCTTTTCTTTCTCTACTCTTTGGCTTTAAACTTGGCCAGTGGATATTGGCAAAGAGATTCAAGAAGAGGTTTGAGAAGTGTGAAAGCCTGCCTTGAGACTTACCCTTTTTTGCGGCTCTTTGGAATCCTGAGACTACTCTGTGATGAAACTCAGATTGCCCTACTGGGGAGCATGAAAAAGGATATAAAACGGGCAAGCCAGACGAGCTGAGGCCCCAGAGACACCCCCTCCCAAGTAACCTGCCAACCATCAGACATGGAAACACAGCCTTCCTAGACCTCCAGCCCCAGCAAAGCCAGCTCAGCTCAGCCCAGAATAGCCATTCTAGTTACCCCAGCCAACATGAAAAATTGTGATATAAATAAAATGATCACTGTTTTAAGTAATATGTTTTGGGGGTAGTTTGTTGCATACAAATGCTAAGTAATACTTAAAAGTATATATGTGTGGAGTGTATTACACCCAAACATAATGTGGCATTGGCTTTGGAACTGGGCAGCAGGTGGAGACTGGAAAATCAGGGAGGAAAACTGTTAAAAGCTGGAAAATATGGCAGCCCACATTATGTAGTAGGAAAAAAATGGCAAAACAGTTACCATGCTCTGTGGAAGATAAAGAATGAGTCAAATAAACTTGTGAATCTGACTAAGGAGATTTTCAGCAGAATATGGGAAGTGTCAGTTTGCTTCTTTTAGCTGCATATGATAGAGGGCAGAAAGACAAATGAATTAAAGTAACAGTTCTACTGGCAAGCAGAATCAGAAGAAATCCAGAAAATCCAGGGCTTACTGAGTTGGGAAATAACTGTTTCACCTAGCTCATCTCTCCAGCCATCAAAATATTCTCAAAGTAAAAAATGACCTCAGGGTAAATATCAAATCATGGGTGTGTCTCTAAGACCCATTATTGCAATGTGTGAAACATTGTATTGGTGCTTGGGAGAGTCTCTCAGCTAAACTAATGGGCATATAAAAATCTTTGTGACATTATCCTACTGCTCTGAGAAAAGCTTATCTTAAAAAGAATTGGTGTGACATTTGGGGCACAGAGTTGATCTAACCAGATTTATAGGAAACCAATACATTTTGTAGTAGAGTTTTACCAGTGAAACTACCTCCAGGTTGAACTGAAAGGGTTTGAAACAATTAAAAATGAAAAATGGGCTCTGGACTTCCCTTTCTAACTTCTACAAACAGTCTACAATCCAAGAAAGTTACTCACCTGCAAACATGAACTGTTTCTTATGAAAAACAAAGGATGTCTCAGAGGGAAGACCCAAGAACTATGTATTAAAATGGACTGGGAGCCATTCCCAAGGACACCTGTGCCATAATCAAGAAGCACTATCTGCCCTTGGAGCAAGGGGTCCTACTAACATTTGCTCTGTGGAATTTCAAACCTATTATGAAAAGGTGACTGATACGTGCCTCTTGTTCCTCCTCTTTTTAAATGGGAGTATCTATTTTACTTATTCTATCACTATACAACCATATATATATGGGAGGTGGTGTCATATAGCTTGTTATTTGGCCCTCAGGTGTCTGGATCGAGAAACTGAAAAATCTAGCCAAGGAGCCCCAGTCACATCTGAACCTGAGACAAAAGACTTGAAACCTTAGATTTGAACTTGATGCCATAATTTTGGATGAGATACTTGGAGGTCCTGGAGTGGAAGTATAGTTTGCATGGGGTGGTAATGTAAATAATTTGTGACCAGAAGATACACTGTTAGAAAAATGCTATGAAGTTCTTGTATCTCTGTATGTATGTGCCTTTATTTATCTTTGTATTTCAATTGGGATCATTTCTATTTGTTTATCACTGATCTCCACTCATCTCCACTCCCACCCTGGCTGTTTCAGAACTACTGACCCATTGAAGACTTTTCATCTCAGTTGTTTTCTCTTTTATTTTTTAGTATTTCCATTTCATTCTTACAGTGTTTGTTTTTCTGCCGAATTCCCCATCTGTTCTTGTTTTCTACTGTTTCCTTTGTCTTAGTTTGTACTACTCTAAGAAAGCACTGTAGAGTGTGTGGCTTATCAGCAATAGAAATTTATTTTTTCTGAAAGTCTGAAATCATGGTGTCAGTATGGTTGGGTTTTGGTAAGGACTCACTTCAGGGTTGCAGACTGCCAATTTCTCATTGTATCCTCCCGTGGCAGAAAGAGGTAGAGAGCCCTCTGAGATCCCTTTTATAAGCACAGTAGTCCCATTGATGAGGGTTCTATCCTCATGACCTAACTACTTCCCAAAGGCCCCACCTCCTAATATTATCACACTAGGGATTAGATTTCAGCCTACAAAATTTAAAGAATACAAACATCTAGTCTATAATACTTTTTACATATTAATCATAGTTATTTTAATTCCATGTATAGTAGTTCCAGTAACAGGGCCACAGTCTGGGTCTGCTGATTGCTTTATCTCTTGACAGCAGGTTGCTTTCTGTTGCTGTTTTGCATCTAATAATTTTTGACTGAATGCTGAACATTGTATGTAGGATAGTATAAATTGAGGTAAATAGTATTTATTCCTGGAAATAGGCATGGCTGCTCTTCTGATACGCCATTGGCATGGTGGGATTGAGTCTATCTAGTCAGCAGTTGGGCTATTTTTTTGTTTTATTGTTAGTATTGTGACCTTCAGTGTACCATAGACTTCAAATTTCTCTAATGTTACCTTGTGTTTGTAACAGACACTGGTTTCTCGGAAAATTTTCTCAATCCTGGGCCACACTTGCCTTTAGGCCTTTCCTGTGTGCCTGCATTTCAGTGTGGGTCTCTTTCCATACTCTTGCCTCTCCCTTAGCAGTAGATTGTCTTCTTACTTGATTCTTGCTGACCTGGTATGGAGGGAGGAGCAAGAGTTGCTCTATATCCCTGGGTATTCATGGGTTTTTCATTGATCCTGCATCTCATGGTCTGGGACCAGGATGGTTTGTTTCTTCCCCTTCTATCATGGGTAGATTTTTTTTTTCTTTTCCCTTCCTCTCATCACAGTGAATATTCACCTATGTTCTAAGGACAACTGTTTGATGCACTGTCCCCTGTGCTTAAGGAGAGTAGGAGAGTAGGGTGCCATTGGGTCTTTAGATCATTTCTGTATCAGCAGCTTCCCCCTTCCAGGTCTACACCATGAAGAGAGGCTTTCTCCAATTTCCTATTCTCCTCCCAGTGTTTCCTTGTGAGCACCCAGCAGAAGTCTGTGGAGAAAAGCCTGCAAATGTGTAGACCTATAGGTCTATAGTTCTCAGGGAGTCTGTATTCTCACACTCTCCCACACTCAGCCTCTAGCAACTCAAAAAATCCTTGCCGAATTCTTAGTGTTCCTATGGTGGCCCCCATCTCCCTTCCTTCTCTGCCACAGGTGACCCAGTGATAACTGCCTGCCTCCTTCGTAGCACTTGCCTTTTCTTATGTCTTGAGCTAGTTGGTTGCTCTGTGATCTTAGCTTTCTGGTAGCTTCAAGAAAACTTATGGGTTTGTAGACTGTTCAGCTTTTTTCTTGTTAAAAGGATGTGAGTGTTGCTCTTTCCAGATGTCTGCATCATAGGCAGAAGCCAGAAGGGTAGAGAGTCTCCTTTGGGTACTATGATCAGAATCATGCCTCTTTTTAATGTTACTTTGCCATTTCACCCATCAAGAGATAAAATCTATTTCAGAAACCCTTGAAATTGGGCTTGGCCATTTCTTTGGCCAATAGAACCAGTAGCAGATATGAAACAAGCAGAGGCTTAAAAAGTACGTGCACATTGAGTTTTTCCTGCACTTGCTGCTTTTTGGAATCCTGGGCCCATGTGTAAAAAGGTCTGGACTGTACTGCTGGAAGATGAAAGACCTCATGGGACAATGATGGAGCAGACAGACTATCCTACATGAGGCACCCTAGTCCAAATGGATTGTCAACTGCCAAACATCCTAGCCATCCAACCCTGGTCAAGGCAGCTGTCTGAAATCAGCATCCTCTGAGATTACCCTGAGTGACTGCTCCTTCTAGTATTCATGTTCTTGTATAATTCCTTCCCCTTGAATTTGGACTGGATCTAGGGATTTGGTTCTAGTGAATAGAAATGAGGCAGAGGTAATGGGATATCACAACCAAGATCAGGTTATCAAAAGACTGACTTCTATTTTAGGTGTTGATTTCTCAGATGGCTCGCCCTACGGGCAGTAGGCTGTCACCTCATTAGTCCTATGGAAAGGCCCTTTTGAGTGAACATAGGAGTATATTCTCTCCTAGTCTAGCCTTCAGATGAGACCACAGCCAGATATCTTGACTGTAATGTTATAAGAGACCTCCAGCCAGGGTCACCCTTTTGAGCCATACCCGAATTCCAGACCCACAGAAACTGAGATGATAAATGTTTGTTGTTTTAAGCTGCTACATTTTAAAATAACGAGTTCCACAGTAATAGGTTGATAATACACTGGCTCAGACTAGAAAAGCTCTACCATACATCCTACTCATCCCAGAGAACATAATCATGGATTAAAATGTTTATTGTTTCAGGGCCAGGGATTTAACTCAGTGTTGTCGCCACCTGCCTTGCAAGTGCAAGGTCCTGATTTCGATCCCTGGTACCAAAAAAAAAAATGTTTATCATTTCAAGTCACTAAGTTTTAGATGGCTTACTACCCAGAAAAAGTTAACTGATAAAGTCACTATTTACTGAATTTCCTCCTTATTCTCCAGCAGATAATCAGTACTAATCAACTACTGTGGGTACTTTGATATTTTAATCTGTGCTTATAAATATGTATATATATGTGTATTATCATGTTTATAATCAAGTTTTATAAGGATTGTTTCCTTCTTTGATTTTCACAAATAGGATCATTGCATACAACCATCTCTCCATCTTGCTTTATTATTCAACAATATCTGTTTGGAATGGTGGCATATGTGCAGCAATTTTTCAGTCATTTACATATTAAAATTTATTCATCCCCATTTTCACCTGTTTTGGTTACTAGGAGCAATGCAGTTAAAAATACGTTAGGAGGTAAGCTGTGCATGAGGATGCATAGTTACAGTCCTAGCTACTTGAGAGGCTGGGGCAGAAGGAACACTTGACCCCATGAATACAAGGCAGTATAGCAAGACCTTATCTCAAAAATGTTGAGGTAGTGTGCATACTGGTTAAGCAGATAGACCCATGAACCAGCCTACTAGAGTTCCAATCCTGGCTCTACTAGTTACTACTGGCACAACATTGAGCAGGTCAGTTACTTCTCTGTCCTGATTTTTTTGCAGCTATAAAAGATATTCACACCTAGTACCTATCTCATAGATTTGACTGAGAAGTATATTTCTTTCCTAGGACTGTTTTATAAAGTACCACACATTAGATGACTTACAGCTATAGACATTTATTTTCTCGCAGTTCTGGAGGCTCAAAATCAAGGTGTCATCAGGACTCTCTTGCAAGATGCTGGGGGAGGAACTATTTCATGCCCCTCTTCTGGGCTCTGGTAGACTCAGGTGTTACTTAGCTTGAAGATGCATCACTCCAGTGACGTGGCCATTTTCTCTGTGTCTTCACATTGCATTCCTCTATGTGTGTGTCTTGTGTCTAAATTTCCCCTTTTATAAGGTTATAGCACATTCATGGCCACTCTAATGACTTCATTTTAACTTGGTGACTTCTGTAAAGATTCTGAGTAAGGTCACATTCTGAGGTCTTGGGGTTAGAATTTCCACATATCTCTTTAGGAGGATACAGTTCAACCCATAACAAACAGTTAATGCATTTATCTGTGTAAAGCACTTAGGACTATGTGTGGAGATAAGTTCTTAGTGAAAATTAGATAACATCCCACTCTGTGTTTGAGATGAGCTGAGAATTGAGAGCTTGTCTGTGGCATGTAAGTCTCATTTAACAGAAAAAGCAACCGCAGGACTGAGACTTGTGCTACCAGTGTTTGAAGACTGTATCAAGAAGGATTCGTCTACAGAGGATAATGAAAAGGAGCAGCCAGAAAGGTAAAAACATAACATGAGAAGAGGGCTCACTGAAGTGTGTTTCCAAAGAGCATTTCAATGTAAAACTTGTTCAAGCTGAAGTTCCATTCGTATGCAAATGAAACTGATTCTTGAGTTTGTGACAGGAAGGCTATTGTTGACTTTGATGAGTGTTATTTTGGAGATGGATTTGAAGAAAGCAATTGAGCAAATCTAAAGGAATTTCTGAAAATTCAGATAATTTTACTTAGCCATAAAGTAAATCCTCTGTTAGAAAAATACTATGTCGTGAGGCTGGATTGCTCTGTTGTTATCTGGATTAAACTGAAAAATGAGAATTGGTGAAGAGTAGAAATTATATGTGATTTGGGAGGTCAAAGGGAAGAACCAACCTTCCCTCTAAAGTTATTTGAGATTAGATACAGTGAGGGACAGAGGCAGAGAGCCACCAAACGGGTTCCAATTTTTTCTCACTCTATTCTCTATATCCAGCCTGTCTTTCCATCTCCCAGCCCTGCTGATAGACATTGGCCCCAGGCTAACAGCCCCCCTTCACAGTTCTATTTTAGCAGCTGGATATGCCTAGCTTCTCAGATTTTCTTGACAGTTCTGATTTATCTACCAATGCCAGTGACTTCTCTAATCTTTCAGCTCTTCCTTTTATATCCTTACTTCCCCATATAGAACTATAAATTATGCATGGTCTTGTTAATATTTTAAAATTCCTTATTTCATAATATGCAGTGATTATGCTATCCTGATTGATAGTTATACTTTCTTTTCCTGAGATCTTGATAAATGTTCTAATGGTAATGTTGAGTGATGCCATTGAGAAATCTTAGATAAACTCGTTCTCTTTTAGTCTTGTACATAATGTGCCTTTCTGCCATATGATTAAGTTTTATTCTTGAAGTTAAGGATCTAATAGAAGCATATACCTTGATCCTGATCTTTGTGAATTAATTTTACCTTAGTTATAGTGAGTCATTCCAATCATTCATTTTGGAGAAGTTTTGCTTAACCGTTTTCAGATCCATTCCTTCTCTTCAGGGACATCAGTTATGATATATAAGATATTTTTGTCTTCTATATTTATTTTGTAGCATTCTACATTCATTTCATATCATTTTTATTTTGTGTGATGAAATCTAGCCTCCTGTTGAGAGTCAATTTCCATGAAACTCTCATGTTTATTCATTAACAACTGATTTTCTCAGATTTATTTTTATTTCAGGATAGTGAAGATAGAGAATGTCTCCCTCTCTGGAAACATTTGCAGAGCAGATTTGGTTACATTCTAGGGTAATAAGATAATGTGCCTATCTGAAGAGGAGGATGGGAAATAAAACAGTGTTTCCCTCCATATTTTAATGAGTACATTTTCTTTTTTTACTGGTATATGTTTATAGTATACAATGGTTACTGGGTTTTTTTTAATGGTTAGTTTCATTGTGAGGAGTTGGTACATGTACATGACATTACTTATTTCTTTTTTTTTTTTTTGGTACCGGGGATCGAACTTGGGTCCTTGCGCTTGCGCAGCAGGCGACGAAACCACTGAGCTAAATCCGTGGCCCTCTTATTTCTTTTTTTAACTTCTTCCCTTTCCCTCCCCCCACCTCCCTGCCTCCCTTGGACCCTTTCATATATATAATTATTATTTTTATACATGTTTATAGTATGTGGATCACATTTTTCATAGGTACTTGATGTATGATAATTAGTACAATTTAAATCAGGTAAAAGTATTAAACTGGGCATGGTGGTGCACACCTATAATTCCAGGGCTCAGTAGGCTGAGGCAGGAGGATCACTCCAAGTTTGAGGCCAGCCTGGGCTGCATAATGAGTTCAAGACCAGCCTGAACTACATAGCAAGACCCTGTTTCAAAAAAGAAGTGTTGCAAGAACAGTAAAATACATATATGTTTCACTTTTGTCTTGATTTAACATTGTATATTTAATTTTTTCCTGAAATAGTTATAAACATTATAACATTACACCCTCAAATAATTGAGTATTCATCTCCTAAAAATAAGGCTATTTTCCCACATAATTGAAATGTCATTATCAATCTAATTCTCATATCCAGTCCACTTTCAAATTTCTCCCATTGTCCTCAAAATATATTTTACAAGTTTATTGTAGTATAATTCACATATGATAAATGGAACTTGTTTGAAAATGTACAATTTGATGAGTTTTGACCTAAGTGTAACCTTTCAAACCATCACAATAAGAAAAATGAACATACCCATCACCCCCAAGAAAATTAATTTATGCCTCTTCATCATCCAGCCCTCCTTCCTCATACTTTCCCCCCATTCAGTCAACCACTAATCTCTTTTCTGCTGTTGCAGATTAGTTTGCATTTTCAACAAATTTCTATAATGGAATGATACCATAGGCATCTGTTTGGCTTCTTTCATTTGGGATAATTATTTTGAAATGTGTTTATTTGTTACATGTATTTATATTCTTTCCCTTTTCTTGCTAAATGGTATTTCATCGTATGGGTATACCAAAATTTGTTTATCATTTCATGTATTAATGGACATTTGTGTTTTTATAATTTTTGCTATTACAAATAAAACTGTTAAGAACATTTGTATACAAGTCTTTGTGTGGAGATAGTTTTGATTTATCTTTGGTAAATGCCTATGAGTGAATGGCTTGGTCATGTGGTAGGTATATACTTAACTATTTAAGATATTGCCAAACTGTGTTCCAAAGTGGGTTTACCATTTTGCATTTCCATGAGCAGTGGGTAAGTGCTCCAGTTACTTCCTGTCTTTGCCCTCAATGTGCATGATTAATATTCTTAACTTTAGCTATTTTAGTGGGAATGTAGTAGTATCTAATTGGTTTTAATTTACACTTCTACAATAACTAATGCTGTTGAGCATATCTTCATGTGCTTGATATATCATCCTTAGTTGATGTATTTTTGGCATCTTTAGTCTTTTTTTTTTTTGTACCGGGAATCGAACTCGGGTCCTTACGCTTGCGCAGCAGGCGGCGAAACCACTGAACTAAATCCCCGGCTCGTCTTTTTTTTTTTAATGGGGTCTTACTATGTTACCCAGGCTGATTTTGAACTCATGGGCTCAAATTATCTTCCTGCTTCATCCTCCTGAGTACCTGGGACTACAGGTATGAACCATCATGCCAAGCCATCTTCGCATTTTTAAGGTGGGTTATCTTATTGAGTTATAAACAGTCTTTATAATCCTAGATATAATTCCTTTGTTGGATATGTATTTTGCAAACATTTTCTCCTAGGTTTTTCTTTTCATCTAGATAACAGAACAAAATATTTTAATTTCAGTAGGTCTGATTTATTTTTATTGACACAATAACTGTGCAGTACATCTTTATGGGGTAGAGTGTGATGTTTTGGTACATTTATACATTATATATTGATCAACTCAAGATACTTGGATTTTTCATCATCTCAAACATTTATCCTTTCTTCATGATAAGAGCATTCAAAACCTCTTCTAGCTTTTGAAAACTATATGATACACTATTATTAACCATAATTATACTGTGTAATAGAAACCAGAACTTATTCTTCTTGTCTATGACTTTTACCCATCATTACCAATCTCTCCCCATTTCCCCTGCTCCCATATACTCCCCAAACTCTGTTAACCAGTATTCTGCTTTCTACTTCTAGAAGCTCAGCTTTTTTTAGATTCAACATATGATTGAAATCATGTGGCCTGGCTTATTTTACCAAACATAATCTCTAGGTCTGTCCATGCTGATGCAAATGACAGGATTTTGTCCCCTTTTATGACTGAATAGTATTCCATTGTACGTGTGTGTGTGTGTGTGTGTGTGTGTGTGTGTGTTTAAAAATCCATTCATCTGTCCTTGGCTATTGTGAATAATGCTTAAATAAACATGGGAGTATAGAAATTTTTAGTATTGATTTCATTTCTTTGGAAATATATCCAGTACTGGGATTGCTGGATCACATGGTGGCTTTGTTTTTAATATTTTTGAGACATCTCCATACTATTTTCCGTAATGGATGTACTAATAACATTTCAGTAGTATGTAAGAGTTCCCTTTTCTCCATATCCATGCCCACATTTGTCACATCTTGTCTTTTATGATAACCATTCTAACTGGGGTGAGATGATATTTCATTATGGTTTTGACTTACATTTCCCTGATGATTAGTTTTGTTGAGTATTTTTTCATATACTTGGCCACTAGTATACCTTCTATTTTCTCGTATAGTTTTTTGTCATAGCTGAGAAATTTTTGCAAAACCCAATGTTATTAAGATATATCCTATGCTTTCTTTTAGAAGTTTTATAATATTGGTGCTTACATTTGGTTCTATGATACATTTTTATTTAATTTTGTATATGATGTAAATCCTTTCTGAAGTACTTAGATTCATTAGTTTTCCATATGGCTGTCCAGATTGTTCCTCCACCATTTCTTTGTTTTTGTGGTCCTAGGAATCAAATCCAGAGCCTTGCATATGCTAGGGAAGCACTATACCACTGAGCTATATCCCTATCCCTTCAGCACCATTTGTTGAAAAACATAATACATTGAATTGACTTGGCACTTCTATAAAAAATCAATTGGCTGGAATTATTTCTGTACTATCTTTGTTTATTGTAATGGCTCTACCCTTATCAGTATTACTGTAGCTTCTATATTGCTGTAGCATTACTTATTACCACAGATTCCACATGATGTCAGATAGTATAAATCCTCCATGGCTGTTCTGGGTCTTTTGCATTCCCACATAAATCTTAGAATCAGTTTGCTGGTTATTATAAGAAGCCTTCTGAGATTTTGATTCAGATTGAATTGAATCTATAGATCTATATGGAAAGAATTGACATTTTAATAATACTGTGTATTTGTGCCATTACCATGCTGTTTTTATCACTGTAACTTTGTAATATAACTTTGAATCTGGGATTGTGATACCTCCTGCTATAAAGGATAAACTTGAGTCATTTGTAGGCAAATGGATGTGTCTCGAGACTGTAATGTTAAGTGAAATAAATCAGACACACAAGATTAAATATCACATGGTTTCTCTTATATGAGAAGCCCAAAATATAAATAAAGAGCAAAATAAAAGAAAGATAATAGGGAGTAGGGAGATAAATCTTTTTCAAATGGGAAAGGATCAACAGATAGAAGAAGGGAGAAGGAAGGGAGGGAAAGGTGATGAAAAAAAAATTGAAATATGACCATTAAGCCAGTTCTCCACAAAGAATGTTATCATTGTGTACTGCAAACATACTAATAAAAAACAAATAAAATTAAAAGTTAGAAATCAGAAAAAAATAATACTGAGTTTTCATATCCATTAACGGTATTTTTCCAATTATTTCTCTCTTCCAAATTTATTGGTAGATTTTTAAAATCAGAAATAGGTGTTGGATTTGTTGAATGTTTTTATTCTAAGTCTTTTGAGACAAATCATGGTTTTTATTTCTTAATTTGTTAATATGTTCAATTACACTGATTTCTGGTATTTAAATCTAGGATTACTGGAATTGAAATTTTCTTGGTTATGATGTATTTCCATTTCTATATGTCACAGAATTCAATTTGCTAAAAATTTTCTTAACAGCATTTGTATAGCCAGGTGTAGTGGCACAAGCCTATAATCCCAGGACTTGGGGGGCTAAGGCAGGAGGATCTCTGTGAGTTCAAGGCCAACCTGAACTACATAGTGAGACTCTGTCTCAGAAAAAAAAAAAAAGAACATTTGTGTATATGTTTATGTAGGGTATTTTTCTGTAGTTTTCTTTTTTGTATTTTCTTTGTCCACTTTTGGTATCAGGGTAATGCTGGGCTCATAGAATGAATTGGGAAGTGGTCCTTTCTTTCCAAGAGTTGGTATAGAAATTTTAACTATTAAAGAAATTACATTTATTTTTATAGGTCTTTTCAGAAGGAATTCTAGGATCAGATGGCTTCACTGGAAAATTATATCAAATATTAAATGAAGACACAATACCATTTCTATACCAACTCTTGTTGAAATTTTATTGGTGTTTCTCAAATAATCAGCTTCTGGGTTCATTAATTTCTCTCTATTGTTTTTCTATTTGGGATTTTATGATTTCCACTTTTTCTTGTTTCCTTTTCTGCTTACTTTGGGTTAAATTTTCTCTTTTTATAGTGTTATGGTTGAGGCTGAGGATATTGATTTGAGACTTTTCTTCCTTGCAGTGTAAAGTTTTAATGATATAAATAGTCCTCTAAACACTCATTTAGTAGCATTTCATATATTTTGGTATGTTGTTTTTACATTTTTATTTGGTTCAAAATACTTAACTTACATTGGGATTTCTCCTTTGTTTCATACATTATTTACATGTGTCCTATTCAATATCCAAGTAGTTGAGCATTTCCCATATATATTGCCTTATGATTTATAATTTAATTCCATTGTGGTCAGACAGTACTTACAGATGAGACTTTATGCTCCAAAATGTGCTCTATAGTTATAGTTTCATGAATACTTGTAAATAATGTGCATTCTGCTATTTGTAGCATAATGTATAAATGCAAATTAAGATTTTTGACAATGTATTTCAGTCTTTTGTAGAAAGGTTGATTTTATGTCTATTAATTTTATCAACTCTGGAGATGTACTGAAATGTCTAAAGTTGTGTTTTTGTCTATTTCTCCTTTCAGTTATACAAGTTTATTCTTTTCTGCACTGAAGTTCTCTTAGTGGGTACACAGCAGTAGGACTGTTATGTCCTCTTGTTGAGTAGATACTTTTATCATTATGGGGTTATTCTGTTCTAGAATTCATTTTGTTCCTAATATTTACATTTTATTTTTAAAATTTAATTTTATTGCAACATTTTAGATATACAATATAATGACATTCATCATTGGAAATTTGCACCTTTACATAATCTCTCTTGGTTCTTATTTTTCCCCCTTCCTCTGTCCTCCCTTCAACCCCTCCATCCCTCTCTGTTTACAAAGACTTTGTTTCCATTTTTTCATATTCCATTGCCTTCTTTCCTTTTCCCTACCCCTCCCACTTCCCCTTCCCCCTTGCCCTTTTTCTTCCTATTTCACATTATCTATTATACCTTTTAGTACTTATTTACACTTTCAGTTTCTCATACTAGAGAAATTATACGGTATTTTTATATCTGTCCTATTTATTTCACTTAAGAGTATCGCCTCAGTGTGCATCCATTTAGCTATAAATATCTCTAATTTATCATTTTTTATGGGTGAGTAGTACTCCATTTTATTTTTTAAAAACCACATTTTCTTTATCCAGTCTCCAGTTGATGGGCATTTGGGCTGTTTCCAAGTTTTTGCTATTACAAACTGTGCTGCTGTGAACATGGGTGCAAAATATCACTGTGGTATGATTCTTTTAATTCTCTGGGGAAGATACCCAGCAGGGGAATAGTTGGGTCAAATAGAACCTCCAATCCTAGTTTTTTGAGGTACCTCCATACTGATTTCCACAGTGGTCACACCATTCTACACTCCTACCAACAATGGAGAAGGGTTCCTTTCTCCCCACAGCCCCGCCAACATTTGTTATTGGTTGATTTCTTGATAGCA